CCCCAAAACCCCAAAACCCCATGAAGGAATTGTTAGAATATCAGACAGAAATTAAAAGAATGCGTAAAATAAATTATGAAATAAAGAAAATTAAAAATATCTTAAGGTGTCAAGCTATCTTTTTGGGGATCTAATAAACTATCTTTACTTATTTAACCTTTTTAGGAATTGATATCAATCTCTTCGGAACTTCAATTTTAAACTCTCCTATAAATGTCTCTTCCTTGTTGATATTTTCAGGTTTTTCATTGACTATAATAGTTGACTCGATTCTTCTATGTCTCATTTTATCCATCGATAGAATTAGAGTCTAGGAGTTCTTGCCAGATACCCATTAGTTATCTAGATCACTTTTTTTCTTTTAAAATCCATTCCTAAAATTAGTACTAATGGTTTTATTCCCTACATTATGATTAATTGGTTTAAGAGTCCTAAGATTTTAATTACTATATTATTATATCTAGTTGCTATTGATCAAATTATTACTGCTTGAATGATTTAAGTTTTTATAATTCATGGTTTAACTTGACATATATAGTTCAGCACCATTCATATAATTCATATTTTTTTAATATTTTTCTCTTAAGTTTATATTAGAAGTCCTTACTCTTTATCTAGAGTTATCTTGTTTCAAATCTCTAATCAATTAAGATTAGGTTGAATTGTTATATTGCTTATTGAAAATTTGATTTGAAGAATTCGTATTTATTAAATGAGTTTGATTGAAACTGTCATTCATTGAATAATCTAAATCAAAATCATTTTGAGGCTTTTTATCTCTATATCTGAATCTCTACTTGCTTATTGTTATTTTGAAAGATTTAGCCTGTCCTACCATATACTCTCCTTAATTTATACTGCTATTTTAATCTAATTTTTGTGTTCCCATAGAATCTATCATTTTGTAGCTTGAACTATTAGCAGGATTTATCATGCTTTTTGAAAATTTATGACTTCCACTTTGAAACTAACTAATGCTTGAATTGGAACTGTTTTGATTCAGAAACCCATTATTTTGATGGATAGTAGTGTCTCTTAGTTTTAAATGAATGAAACCCATTTCTTGCATTTTCTAGATTTTTGAACTTATGAAATTCTAAAGCAATTTTTGAAGTTATGATTCCTTTTGAAATTCAAAGATCTTATTAAATTAATTTGCTAAAATGTTGCCAGATTCAACAATTAGAGGAATTCCAAGTTAAGTAGACATTATAGTCTGAATTTATATTTGATATAACTCGGCCACTGACTTGTTAGTCTTCCAGCAGAAGTCATAAAAGAAATTATTACTAAGATGTAAGACATCTAGTACTCCTTTCATCAGAGGGTTATGCACAGCAGAACCACTTTTATACACAACTATATTATTGCAATCAGCTTCTCTAAAATTAACAGAAGATGATAAGTTCATATTAGAGGAGTGCACATCGTTCATATTTCTAATCAATCCTGTTCGAGCGAAAAGCTACATTTAGTTCAACTACTTATTAAATTCGTACAATTCTCCAGTAGTATTTAGCAGTATTAGGTTTACATTTTCAATATCTGTCTCATTCAATTCTGATTGCTTATTCATCGACAATTAGTTTGATTGAATACTCAGTCTATTTTAGAAATGATTTAAAGACTTGATTCGCTGTCTTTATCTATCATTCGATATGTTTATGCTCTTAATGTTGAAATCTCCTTTCTAGTCATTATTTATGACTTTGATTTTTTAACTGATTTTAAAGTTATTTGCTCCAAGACTTTTGAGGTATATTAGTGTACTAAAAAGGACGTGAGATCCGAACACGCATTTATTGGACTTAATGCAATTCTTAACCAAAAGTCTAATCTGCTCATTATCTGAATGCCACGGCATGTAATTAAGTGAGTCTCCATCAATAAAGATGAAATCAATCTTATCAAAGTACTCCTCAGATTTACTCTTGATCTTATCATTTTTCATTTAGCCTAGTTCTTTCTCCATATCATCGTAATCAATAAGAATCTCATTTAGATTAAATTTATTCCTAATTATAAATTCCAACTCAGATCCAATCAGTGTATTTGCCAACTACTTGAATGTAACAGTTATGAATTTATAAAATTTTTAGAAGTTCTCCTTTGTTTTGAAGCAATTCACTATTAGTATTTTCATTTTAATTATGAATTAAAAAGATCTCAGTTAAAATTAATAATTCACTCAATCAAGTTAAACATCAAACTTTTAAATATTAATCTCTCAATATCAGAAGTATAAGCTCAGACCAAGTTAATGCTTTAATCTTATGATATCTGGAAATTTAACCAAGGCTTAACTTCACAATTTTTAAAATCTTAGTAGTCCAAAAGCCATCCAGTCTCTTAATCTACTCCAGAAGAGCTAAGGGCTCTTAAAAATGAGGCATGACTTACTATAGCATATTTTTCATGGATATCTAGTTTTCTATGTAGTTCGACATACCTTTTAACAAATTCCTTAAAAATCTAAACTCTGTCAAATATCATGCTGTGAGCTTCCAATCTACGATACTTAGAATCTGCCATATATTTCAAAATCTAATCATTTATCTCGGCATGAGAGACGCTTTTATGACTCACGGACTTGTATAACAACTTAACAGCATCAAGATCGGTCAACATCATAGCATTCCATAGTCTAGGCTCACCGAATAATCCTCCATAAGTGAAAGAAAAATCAAACTCAATGCCATAGTTCTTCTCTTTATTATGTGCACCAAATAAGCTATAAAGATATTCTATAGAGTGACTCAAGTCATTGCTACAATTAAGGCCTTCTTTGATGATTGGAGCAAGGACAAAATGAATCTTATTTTTGTTAGGATGCTCTGCAAACATCTCGATAGCAGTTTAGCATGCTCTAATCATAGGAGATACAAAAACTATCAGAAAATTTAACTAGTTTATAATCTTCCTTTATTTAAGCGCTTAGTTTAAGCCAGTGAGATTGAGAGGAGGATCAATGAATTCTACTCTTGTTCTAAGTTATAGAAATTCTGGGCGTTCAGGGTTGTCCTTATATTTGTCGTATTCTACATTGAAATTTGTTTGTCCATGTCTTATTAGGAAAAACTAAAACTTATCATCAGAACTCAAATCAATATTATTTTCAGGGTCCTCTAAATAACTAGATTTTCTCTAAACCGTATTATTTTCCATTTTAATTCACTTATTCAAAATATTCTGATAGAATAAATTTACTATGATGGGGTTTTGGGGTTTTGGGGTTTTGGGG